GAAATCTGTTCATCATTAAAACGACATATTTTTCTAATTTTCTTTCTTATATGTTCAAGGATGCTTTCATTTTCTTCCGTGCTACGAATCGCACGTTAAAAGGTAAGACCCTTCAATTATTAGCTCGCACAAGTTTCAATTTCCTGAGGGAGTGCCACCTGGTTAAAAAACAGAAACAATAATCGCGTAATGTAATGAATTAACTGACGTGAAGTCGAAGAGTGGCTAAAACACAAAAAAGAATCACGTAATTTCATCAAATCATGTATCAATCATGACAATGATTTATCAGATAGAACCCCATAGTCACATCGAGCTATCACATAGTCATATCATAGTCACATCGAGCTCCCCTCAGAAGTTTGAGATGAAGAAATGGAGTTGAAGAAATGTATTAGAGTTTTAGATGTCGGTGCATTGGGTTTTCTGAAATTTCTTAATATACAGGGTAACTAGTAGAAGTGTGGAATTGTAAAGTTAGTTTAATTATGCAAGTGAGAAATATCGGCTTCCCATATTAGAATTTCATCAGAGAAGTACTTTTGGAAATCAAAGGATTGATATCTAGCGTCATGGCAAAAATAAAATCGAAAAGTTGATCAATTCAACCGTCCCTATTTTCATGAATTTGTTATGAAGGTGTATTGAAAATGTAGCTTTTCCATTTTCTAATGGTAAAATTTGACCACAATATTTCCTTTCAGCTACTTTTTCTTGTTTCTTCTCCCGTGAAAACTAAATTTCCGACTGAAATAAATTCGGGACGAATTAACATTACTTCAAAAAAAAACAGAGTTTTGTATGACAGTTTTTTCACGAGACCCAATTTTAATAATATTAAATCTGTCATTGAACACAAAGAAATTACAAAAAATATTGAAAAAATCATCAATTTTGATAACATATCGACTACCACTGAATAAAAAAAATCTTCATAGGAAAATAATCTACAAAAAAGTTTACATCGCCAACTGGGTTTATTCGGGAACAATGAAACCGGAGACGAGTGAATATATTAACTTTTTGACGTTATTAATTAACACGATTTTATTAGCTTCACCTGTAGGTATGTATACTGTTTGTTTGTAACTCTTCTTTCCCGTTTGAATGCTCGGGATCTGTATTTGACAGAATTATCGACATCATTGCTTCAACTATTCGCGGGCAGATGCCTCTGTACGTAACCTCCTTGATATAATTCGAACTCACTTTACACGTATTTCTTCATTTGAAAAAAGTATTTTTTTATCAACACGCGTGCCTGCTGCCTTATTTGTAACCCTCATTTGAGCGCCTGCTGCCTTGGGCTTGGTAGCTGATTTTCAGGCTCCCTAAATGGAATCCAAGGCCAAATAATCTTTACCGACACTGATGAATTGGCAGTCTTTGAAATATGTATAAATAATATGTATTTTGTTGCCTTAGGCAAAGTATGTGCTCTTACGCCTATGCCAGCCACCAGCACAGATGACTGGGCAAAATTTAATTCGTATCGAATGAAAACGACTTTCTTGGTTTTCCGCATCAGTGAGTCAGAAGATATCAGATGTCTCATGTCCTGGTTGTATAATATGAAGGCTACAAGAAAGGTTATTGAATTAGAATATAGCAACATGACATACCGCGATAGTCAAAACTTCTGCATGTCTAAATGTATTTCCAAATCACAAATTACTGAATATTGTGATTGTTGTATGAGATCAATGTTTCAGAAAGTAAATAAGTTTTTCCAACGTTAATGAATTATAGTGAATACATAAAATAAATATTCAAATCCAATATTATAAATGAATTGAGATAATTTTGGCAAGGGTTAATAAACTTGAGGAGGGTGATATTTTCAAGAGAATATAGAAAGAAAGCAGCTATATAGTGACGTACAGACAGGTTTGAATCTTTACAGGGTTCAAGATTTTTGAAATTTTGTAAATATTGCCACAAACTTGAAAAAAGAAAGAAACATTCTGGGAGAAATATATGATAAAAATACAGTCCATAAGTTTCTTTCATTTCTATCGTATGAATATACTTTACGCTTTTGTGACGCGAAATTACAAAAATTTGTTTCCAAATATATTATTTGTCAAACTATTCGCACTATACCTACACTCAAATTGGAACTAGTTTTTTCACAAACTTTTATTACTTTGCTTTTATGTATGTATAACGGGTGACGACGAAATCATTGTACACGGTGTCATTCGGTTGTTTCTGAGGTAACAAATTTGAAATTCGGAATAAAGGCGTGTTCACTAGAACCAATATTTCTATGGAGAACCTATCGAAAACCTACTTTGGTTCAATCGGAGATGAAGCCAAACCGAAAATTCAAAATAAATCCCTATATATTCTTATAGACCTTTGGATTTCATTTTAAAATAGCGCAGTAGGAATTATTTCCAATCTACTTAGTATACTCAGAAACAGAAAACAATATTCGTTTTCAAAGTTTTTAAATAGGTAAACATTGAAAAAATGAAAGATTACTACATTTATCCCGAAAATCTTGACAGAAAGTGAATTTTTTCAAATGTATCTATTGTATCAAATGTATCTATTGTACTACAAAAAAATGTCAAAATCAATTTTATATTCTATGGAATAGTCTGAAAAATATACAATGTTCTATCAAAAATTGATTACTTGACTTCATTTCCGGTTATAACGAAGTAGGTCTTCAATTATTTTGAAAAGCCCCCTGTACAATGATTTCATTGTCACCCGGTTTATGTATTGATACTCCGGTATATGGATGTAAAATGGAAGGGTTTGCTGAACAGATTTCGAAAAGTTAAATGATTTTTTTTAAAGTCAATGATAGTAGACTATGTTTTTTTTGCACCCCCATGATTTGGATATCAAATGAAATGAACATACTAAGGAAAATATGTCCAGTAATAACTGAAAATAAAAAAAAATAATAAAAAACATTCTAACCAATACGCTTTTTTAAAGATCTGCACTTACTATGGACCTCCCTATACCCCTAGCGTCAATCCGCTCCGATTTACCTGCATAGTTCGTTCCTATTTTCCCGAGCAGAGTGTTATGGGCCTCAAATCAAAGTGATTAGTCGGCATTCATGCAGTATAGCTTCAATAATATCAGTCAAGTATAGTCGAAGTAAACGATATTGTGCACTCTTAAAATTGGCGGCACTCTCAAAGACCAAAAAAAAACAATACATAGAAATGATCCGGCAGCGAACTAGTACACGTAGACTGTAGACTTGGCAGTTCGTATTGTATAATTTTTACTAACCGAGTTTTATGATTGGCTGAAGAGTCATAAAATTAAAATTGAAGTCATTTTAAGGTGATGAATAGACATCGGGAATGCGGGGATGGTTATCGACGTAGTGTTCAGTTCAGGATTTGATCGCGATATGAGTGTTGAAATTCGATATTGGTGCAGTCATAATTACTTGAAATTTTTGTTATCTGTTTAAAATGTGGCGTCCTTGGACAAGTACTAATAGTAATAACAAGTGTGATAACAACGCAGACTTTTTCCAGTGTAGTGATTCCAATAGCGATGTTGAACTATGCGAAAAAGAGATAACAGTGACTAAGATTCGGATGCATTTGAATATTGAAACACAGAAAGTATGTTTCAATGTATATAATAATCTACATGTCATGTTTGGTTTCGAGGGAAACAAACTATTACAAGCAAAATCAGATTTGACCGAAATTTATTTCTCCACTATACGTAAAATAGTGAAAAACAAACCTTATGAACGCAAGACGCGATGTGATACAGGATTACCAAACCCTTTATATGTTCATCTAATAAAATCATTGAAAAAACAATATACGACTGTTACAAAAGCAATGAGATTCTTACAACTGAAATCATAAGGAAGAAATTAAATACTTCCGGCCACAACGTGAGCTGCTGTGACAAAACTTTTCAGAATTGGGTAAAGAAACTAGAATTTAGATTTGAAATAATAATCAAACATCAAGCAGTTATGGAAAGCAGAAGAATAGTGGAATTGCATAACAAATACTAAGAACGAATAACTAAATATAGACAAGAACAACGGCAAATTTTCTATTTGGACGAAACTTGAAATGACATTCACGACATGTGTACGCCTAACATGCCTGAAATCAAAGGATCAAGACTAATCATTCATTGCGAAGGAAGTTGAGGATGGGTTACGAATTCTCTGAAATTACATATGTGGAAAAAATCTTGAGGACTGCAATGTTGACTATCATAAGAACATGGAAGCTAATATTTTTGAGGAATGGTTTGAAAACACATTGATCCCAAATTTGGATGCGAATAGTGTAATAGTTCTTGACAACGCTTCCTATCATTCGCGACATCAAAGTACTGAAAAAAAATTTGAGGAAAGATGAATTACAAAGTTTTGTGATGAAAATTTTTGTTGAAAAAGACTATATGGAGATTGGACACTTCCATATTAATAGTGGAAATAAATTCATTATTGATTCAAATGACGACGGTGATAGTGAAACAGAGAATATGGAAGAGGAATTATTAGAATCTTTCGAAGAAAGTTGGTGAAGTGTTTTTGAAGCGAGTAAGTAATATTCACAAGTGTTTTCAATTATCATCCTGTTACTTGAAACCCTACTTTCCCTCTCACCTGTATAATCTTATATATCAGAAGTGATTATTGAATAACGAAATTAGTTAGCTCCCTAACTATATTATTAAAGGGGAGCTGGGAGGGAAGGTAGATTGCACTATATCGTTTGCTTGTACTCTACTAGCACTGCTGTCGCGGTTAGATTTGTGCCCTGCACTGACACGAAATCACCTACTGACCGGTTTCGTTCAGTAGGTGATTGATTTCAGCGATATCCAGCTCCTGAACGAACAAGACGCATCTCCAAGAATTTCCCTGTGACAATACTTTCACAAAGTCTGTCAGATATAATGCAATGCTCGTCGTGTTGTCAGCCAGATAATATATATTGCATAGAAACGTTGGGAAGGTGAATTTTTCGAATTAACTCACTTACCTTGATGAATTCAGGAGTCAAGTGATCTCCTTTCATCAAATCTGTTAGTTTTAGATTCAATTCTACTCCGATGGCTTTTGCCGCGAGAAGAACATTTCTGCAAGGTGCACTTCCGGGAACGTAGTAGAAATCAATACCCATCTTGATGCTGAAACAAATATAATATTCATTTATATTGAAACTTATACGAGGTATATTAAGAAAATGACGGGAATTTTTAAATTTCACTGGCCTGGAAAGCAGCTCGATTTTCATTTTTTTATTAGGGATGTATTAAGGATGTTCGGAATATTCGCATCCCCATGCATAGATTTCGATATTCGTATCCGCATCAGCAAAAATCAATGCGGATGTTAATGCAGATGCGGATATAATACAGGTTGCGACAAGAAATTGGCCGGGCCGGCGCGTATCGTTCGCACGTGACAATGTTCAATGGAAGCTAACAAATTTGTAACAAGATCTGACGCGTTTGTTGTATCTATCTTTACGCATTGTATAGATAGATATTTTGAGTGTTATGGTGATGAAGTGATCATTATTAAGAATCACACGTTAAAAGGTAAGACCATCGTTAGTCCTCAGTTCGCACAAATTTCTCAACTTCTGAGAGTTGTCGTCCGTATGGGGGCGACAGCTGATTAACGGAAAAACAGATTTTTTTTAAAACAGATAGAGTGTCAATAATTGTTTATTGGGAAATCTTTATATTAGTCTTAGTTCAGCTTATTAAATATAGATCACCAGGTGTAAATGCCATTATATTAAACCGATAATACGTTTTGTTGTAGGTACATTTCTTCAGAGTGGTTTTATTTATTGATAGATCGATAGATTATCTGAAAGTTAATTAACAATGTCACCACCGACACAAAGATCGCAAGAGTTTGATCCGATTCGACAGGCCATCATCACAACTCTGAAAAATGAACTTTCAAAAAGTTTTCGAGATTGGGAGACAACAATTTATATATCATTGCCACCTACTTAAATCCTCGCTATAAGCACACATTTTTTACACCGGTGACTGAGGAAAAGATCAAACACGATATTTTGATGATAACAAATATTGAGAATGACGTTTTTGGTTCTATCAATGCCAATTCCGAAAGGGACAAAAAAATGAGGATGACTGATTCCACGGAAAAAAATATGGAACAACTAGGGCCAGGGAAATCAAGTAGTGGTAGGAAGTCATGCCTACAAAACGATCTTGCTTTGATGTTGGATTCGTCAAGAGAAGATGAGAGTTAAGAAATACCAGAAAATGGTAGCACTGAAGCTGTACTCAAAAAGGAATTATTTTCTTACCGCACTAAAAAAAGAGTAAATATGGATGAAAATCACCGTCAATGGTGGAGTGTCCATCAATAGGAATTTAAGATAGCACGAAGATTTTCATCTGCTCCACCAGGCAGTGTTCCTATAGCGAACAATTGTTTAGTAACGCAGGTCTAATTTACGAGCCTGTGCGTAAACCGACTTGAATCAGAAATGGCGGCAATATTACTTTTCATTAAGTATTATGCTCCTATTTTAAACTTCACTTACTTAATACTAATTTTTGTTATTAGAAATGTTAATATTTTCTGTATCATTGTTTCAATTCTTTATTCATAAACTATATTTTTATAAGATCTCAAATATTCGCATCCGCGGATGTGAAAAAATAGGCATCTGCAACATCCCTGATTTGTATACCTACACCTGAAGTATGAAGAATTTGCAATTGTATTCATTGTTCTCTTTGACATCCGCTTAGTTTGAACGTGTTACTCAAAGCTCAGAGATTTTTGTTTGTTTAAAAAATGGTTCAAAGAATTTGTGCTAAATTTTGCGTAAAAAAAAATGAAATGAAGTGTAACAAAGTGCGTTAAATGTTAACGAAGCCTTATGGTGTGTCTGCTATGAGTAAAAGAATGGTTTATGAGTGGTATATGCAATCCAAGATGGCCTTGCAGACGTTAAAGATCATGAATACCCTAGGACATCGACAACGGAAAAAAACGTGGAGAAAGTGAAAGAAATGGTCATGCACGATGGACGAATCGCAATAGATGTCGTTGATTATTTCCGTTAAACAATCTGAAAAAAAACATTACTATTTCTGAAAATGAAGAGAATCTTGAAGGGCAATCGTTTCATAATCTTAGATGACATTTATAACGCATTACTGAAAAAGACACAGGCTATTCCAAAAGATCGTGTTTGAGAAATGTTTCGAACATTGGAAAAAGCGTTGGCACGAGTGCATATCTAAAGGTGCGTATTCACCAAAAAAGCGAGCACGAGCGAACATGAGCAAACACGAGCAAACATACACGAATGCTCACCCATGCTCGCTCGTGCTTGCTTTTTTAGTGAATACGCACCTTTAAATTTTAATGTTGTGAACTCCATTCTGGGAAGATATAGTGCGAAAAGCATGAATTCAGTTTCATTTTAGTTGTTGAGTGGGACTTTAACTGGGTTGCTAATGATCAAAGTAGAATATTAAGTTGCGTATACACCAAAAAAGCGAGCACGAGCGAGCATGAGCGAGCATTCATGTATGTTTGCTCGTGTTCACTCATATTCGCTCGTGCTCGCTTTTTTGGTGAATACGCACCTTAATGGGAACTATTTTGAAGGCGACAACATTAATGTAGGCGAATTGAAAAAAAATTTAAAAAAACGAAAATGCTCGTTTTTATCTGAACNTTATACAATCTTTCCAACAATGCATTTTCTGATTGTTTACTCATAACGTAGGCATTGTCTAGATCATCCCTTGCCAGTTTTAACTCCAGATTAAACCAATTTGTTTTATTTTTTTTTCGTGAGGTCTTCGAATTGGGTATCGGTTGACATGATTCATCGTAAAGCATTTTGAATTGATCACAGAAATTCTGGAAATTGACCGATAATGATTTTTCGTAGGATATATCCCATTCCTTTGTATCTAACATTGTTTTTAACTGACGGATATTCTTAAATGATATGTTTCTGTGGAAGTCAGTAGGGATAATATCTACTTCAGTTTCAGGAGTGCTGTAGTTATAATGCATAGAAGTTGCTAAATGATCTGAGAGGTGGGGATTGAATGTTGTTTGAGTACATTTAATAAGATCCAAGTTAGTTATAATGTAGTCAATTCCACTAATTGTAGTTTGATTGTTTTTATTAGTGCAAATTCTTGTAGGTGTCGATACTAAATTGTGGCATTCATATGAATCCATCAGATCCTTTAATAATTTAATTTAATAATTTCAAGTGTCTAATTTACTTTAAATATCTATTCACTTTCCTTATTGAATACATTTGGTAATTAACCTTTGAAATAAATATTCAATTCAAATTTTAGACAAGTTCAACTCAAAGTAAAAAATCAACCAACAATACATAATCAACACTAAATAGGTACAGGTAACATTTAACATGGTTGTCCTGACTGGATAAAAAAAATGCAGTTCCATGGTATGAATAATGATATTTCAAAATTAATAATAGTGAATTGAGTTTATACTATTCTCAATTTGCTAATAATAAGTGATGAACTTTTGAAAAATAGCAGTTTTTTTTCGCGACTTTACACTTTTTGTTTTCATTCGTATTTTTCGTTAGAAACTATAATACTTTAAATGAACTGTCAGATCAATGATTGAGTATAACGTTTGAGAATAATTTTGAAGTAGGTAAATTCTGAAGACTCACTGCGAATCAAAATAATGCAAACACAATCGTGAAGTAATGAATTTTATCATTTGTGATTAACCTCCGAAATGTTATAATGAGTCAGGTCAACTGTGATAGGTTCCAGGATCTTAAAAAAGAGATCATTGACTACTTACTCAACAAGAAATGGTAATACAATTAATGCATTCATCAATAGTTAAGTTTATTGGGTATCATTTACAGTAACCATAACTTATTCAGCATTAAAGTCCTAAATCTTCTCAATCGTGGCATAATATAATACAATTCTGAAGAATTTTAAGGTGATTTGATTAATAAGATTCTACTAGCCCTCATATCTACCCAACAAATCTAATAAATATATGTTGCGTGTGGGAACTATGGAGAAAGGAAAATCAATTTTTCAACAGTCAAGGATTTATTCTATTATAAATTGTACATTCAATACCAGCAAACCATCAAGATTTGAAAGGAAGTGTTCGTTCAATTGAATCTCATTATTATTTCATTTCATGTCGATATTGATCAGGACCGATTTCTTAATCAAAACTGGTAGCCTGGTAACATTTCTAAAGCGACACAAACAAACGACAGTGAAAGTGGGCCATCGTCATAGCAGCAATAATAACCACGAACTGGAAATTATTTTCAGATTTTTGATATTGTTTTCGTTCAACAGAGGGGAACAAAAATAATATCACGAATATTCGTCTTTATAAATTACATACGGATATTTTCTGGTAATCAGTTTACTTAACAGTAGACAGATCTATAGGGTCTTCCAACAGGGACTTCCGAACTTTAACAATTGATAACGGTGTTTCGTTGAAGCTACATCTGTCAAATTAGTTGTCATTTATTCAGTATGTTTTGCCAAATCACCTTGGACGGATATAGCATTCAAGAACCCGTGCAAACAATAAAATTGTTTTTTCAAAATGGGTGTTCTGTTCGCGCTCTTCGCCCATTTTACGGTCGCCATAGTCGTCTTACCGAGAGGACTATTCGCAATGTGGTGAGTCAGTTGGTTCAATTAACTATCGACCAACACCCGTATGTCGACGAAACGCAAGATCTCCCAAAAACATCGCCCTGTCTGTGAGAGTGTGCAGGAGAATCCGAGGCAGTCGATTTCGCGATGCTCCCTTTCACAGACCACAACTTGGCGAATTCCAACTTCTTTTGGCCTGAATTGGATGACCTCGACACCAACGACATGTTTCAACAGAACGGCGCTATGGGCCACACAGCTCATGCCACACTGCATATTCTGCACGAGCGATTTGAGGGCATGGTTATCTCACGTGCAAGATTTCGATATTCGTATCCNAAATTTGCGAAAATGATGAAGTTCTTATTTCAAATCATCTGAGTTATTGAAAACATATCATAGATCATACAAGTTTCCTGTTACTGAAGAAAAAAACTTTTAAAAAATCGCTCCCCAAATTTATATATTTCATATCTGTGTGTTATATAATAGGAAAATACATTACATTTTCCTATAAAAAAAAATTGAATTCTTTTGAAAGTATAGGAGGTCTGTTAAAAAAATAAGGTGAATTTTCAAATTACACGGGCTATGTACAGTTTTTAGATTTTTTTTACGTTGGTATACTCGTCTCGAACATATGCTCATAGTTTCAACTGTTTATCATGTTTAGTTTATTGGTGAGAGGCTTGAAAGTTATTCTGCTACCGAAAAAAGTAATCAAGAATTTACATCAAATGGAATTGAGTGCTGAAAAACACTTGAAATGTCAATAGTGACATACGGTGATTGACCTCTGAGTCAGAAAAATGTTAACAAGTGGTACACGCTTTTCACAGGAGGTCGAGAAGATGTTAATGACGACACTCACCTTGGACGCTCCAGCACATCAACAACCGATGAAAATGTTGAAAAAGTGAAGAAAATTGTTATGGAGTATCGTCGAATAACTATCAGAAAAGTTGCTGAGGATGTCGGCATATCGGTTGGCTCATGCTATGCAGAAATAGGTCGCATGAGCATCGCTCAGGAATTGTTGAAGGACGTCAACGGGATCCAGATTTACTTTAAAGGGTCATAAGTGGTGACGAATCATGGATATATCATTATGACATCGAAACCAAAGTCCAATCGTCCCAATGGAAGAGCCCAACAGAGTCAAGGCCACCGTTTTCTTCGATTACCGTGGCATAATGCATCAGGAGTTCTTGCCACATGGACGTACAGACAATGAGAAGTATGCTCCGCTTGCGAGAAGCAATACGAAGAAAGCGTCCGGTATTCCGGTGGAAAAACAATTCAGAGCTTTTGCATCACGATAATGCACCTGCTCACTCGTTATTGTTTTTTCGTAATTTTTTTGACAAAAGAAAACACCGTAATCATGCTTCAGATACTGTATTCGCCAGATTTGGGCCTCTGCGACTTTTTGAAAGGGCGGCGTTTTGTGACGATTGAGGAAATAAAAATCGAATCGCTGAGAGAGTTCAAGAACATAATAAAAATGCATATCAGAACTGCTTCGAGGATTGGAAAAAACGTTGGCACAAGTCTATTATATCAGAGGAAGGCCACTTTGAATGGGGCAAAATAGAAGTTGTTGAATTAATAAATATTTTTTGAGAAGAATGAAAATTGTTATTGCGAAAAAGAATAGAAGTTATACAAAATGAATATCAATCAAATGTCAAAAATAGACATTAATTGTTCCATTAATTGTTCATATCACATAGAGATCAAAATCATAATGCTAAAAGAAGAAAACAGAAAAAAACTGTGCCGATATTTTTAATTTTTTGCTGTATCACATAAAACTCTTAGAAGTGAATTTGACACAGCTTTCTCTTCTGAGAAAGTGTAAATTTCATGGGAGAGATAAGAAAACATTACATAGAAAACGTTATAGATAAATTTTTCAATCACAGTGATATCTAGAAGTGCAATATGTGTATATTTAAAGATTGTGGTTTAGATCGCTTTGAAAATAGGGACGACGGATAATATTTCAGAAATGTCAACATCATGATATATTGTTTTTTTACTATTATGTTGTAAACAAGGTTGCTGAATGATAATACCAGATGTTCTCTGAACGTTCAAAAAAAGCATTCAATGAAGGTATAATTCGTTCAAGAAGTGGAAAAATGGATTTAAATATTATATGCTCTTACCAGCAAGTTTCAATAATCACACGATCAACTCACACTAATCGAAAATTGTGATTGAATGAAATGTGTGCTCGTTGCCGGCAGTTCAAACTTTTATCCGCGGTTTCACAACGTTGCCGGTTGTAAAACATCGCTTCCCGTTAATGAGGACAATTCTATAGTCATACAGGGTGGACCCCTTTCTCTTTGAAATGTATGATTTTGAAATTTAATCAGATGTTTCAGGAATGACACGATTGTTGATGACTTTTTTGGATTCCATATGTGTATATTATAAGGATTTTTTTTGGAAAATATTACAGAGGATAAACTTGAAATGACATTAATTTTTGAATACTCATCCTTATGTCACAAAAACAATGATATATACAGTATGTTCCGTAATAACATGGTAATATTTCAGGGAGTGATTTCTCAAGTCATTTTTTCGAGAAAAGTTGATGTCGTTGATTTATGCTTTTAGGAAAGTCTTTGAAAAAACTCTCTTTTTTTCTATCTAATTATTGTATTATACAAAATCCTCCAGAATGTAGTTAACAAGCTCTGGTATCTACAAAGAGAATTCGAATGGCATAAAAACTATATAGAGACCGAACGTCGGCAGTTTCTTTGTATAGCATGAGCGGTGTGGTATAATTACGAGGTCTAATCACTATTTTTATGCGTGAGGTTTTATATGGTATTAACTTAACTGATAAATCTATCAGACTCGGTACATTAGTCTTTTATTTAGTTGTTTGGATTGACTTCGTATATACTTTACTTATACCTCCGTTATGTGTAAAGCTAGAGATAATTTTCTTAAATAATTTTCAAAATAGTTGGTACCATTGCGGTTTCTAAGAAACTACCCCAACTTCTATTTCTGAATGGCACCCCTTATAATAGTGTACTTCGCTTGAGTCTTCCTCTAATTGTGAATATGAAAGTAATATTTTTTATAAACGAAATGGTCTGAACAGTTATTTATAACCAAATATGTCAATAATTTTATTGACTTACACGAAATACATAAAATTTCATAAATTCTTCAAAAATGTTCAAACTTGAAGCTGACAAGCTCCATATCATCTTATGAGTTCATTAGTTTGATATCATAGCTGAAGTGGTGCATGACAGATTCGATTCTTGAGATCCTCCCAATCTTCTGAAGGTACTTGAAATATAATTTCTTTTAGACACCCCGGTCTGGCCAACCATTGAACCATTGTTTTCTATTTATCTCTGATCATGTGTATCATTAAGATGTAATCATGTGCGAATTATGGAAAGGACCACTATATTGTTGTCATATCATCATTGGTCATTCGGATAATGGAATGTGTTCTAATAGTTTGAGCAAGATGTTCAGCACCAGTGTTAAAATATTGATACATCATTTGTAAAGTCAACATCAAACGTTCACACTCCATTTTGTTTTGAGTTTCTGCTATCCAATGTGAATGTACCAGTAATGAGCGTTGTGTGTTTTGACCACATCATTATTATGAAACCTGCTTTTATTACTTCTCAGGACATCTGCATTATCACGTACCATAATCTGGAGGAACGCAATAAATACTAGCCTTCGTTCAAAATCTTTGAGCAGTAACATGTGATGGTACCTACTTGACGGTAAAGATTATGCTCACTACATGACCGACATGATATAATCAGGAATTTTTCCGAGATTCTCCATACACAAGCCACTAATCAACATATTCATAAGAAGTCAATGGCAAAGTCATGAACTCTATTTAAATTTGAGTGAACTTTACTGGAATACAATACTTTTAGTTGCTGAAGTTATTATTTATTATAAATATTATTGATAAAAATTTCGAAGATTTTTAAAAATATCAAAAGTGGTAGGGAGACACAACTAATTGGGTGTACAGTTTGTGGGATTCTCATTTCAAAAACTGAAGTAGAGGAAAGTTTTTTGAAAGATGGTTAGCATATTGTTAACGGTATTTCCAGGAGGGCATTTTAACGTATATCCAAGCTGATTCGCTTTCAAACTGATTCGCTTTCAAACTGAATTTTTTGCGAAACGTTAATAATATAAAGAAAAAAGGTATTTTTTTATTATTCAAGTTGTAGGAAAAATTTGTGGGTATGACAGGTTCCTGACTAATTCGGCTCGTTAATGATTTATATTAAGCAGTAACTTTTTGGGGTGAACTTTTCAGTTTGCTCTCTATTACACTTCAGTAGATTCTCTATTGTTTTAACTTTGTTTATTTTTCAGATTCTAGAAGGATATACACCCAAAAAAACAGTAAGAAGTATCTGATGAGACTTAGAGAATAATATTTCTCCTAGAAACGATGATCTTTCTATTATGAGATTTCATATAAAATATCATAGCTTTCTCCAGAAACCTCACACGGATACTCAACAAAGAATATCTATAAGTGGCTATTTTAAATGGAAATATGGCGGAAAAATACTATTTTTGAACAGAAAAACCTTGTGATTGAATTATAGAATACACGAGAAATGCAAAGAAGAATTTCTTAAAGTCATTCTCATTTTGAGATTGTAAGCATTCTACATATTTCCAGTAAAATGATTTACATTCCTGAACTTGTAATGTGTAAACCCAAGGAGAAATATCGGAATTCCTAATAAAACAAACTAAAATTTAATAATGAAGTGTCAATATAATTTTCATTACTTTGTGACCCGATGAAACTGCTGATGTTTTATTGAAATATCAATCATTTGTTCCATATCGTGCTTTATATAAAGTTTGTTCATTTTTAAGTGTATAGGTATCATTTGTGTGTAGTTGTTATATTTGTTTTCATATTTGATAATGTCACTTTGATATTTATCTATATTTTTTATTTTGATTGAAGATCGGATATTTTGTAGAATTGGCAACATTAATTCATATATTCCCCTCCACTGAATCTTAAGCAAAAGTACAGTATCAACATGCATGCTGGTCAAGGTCGAAATTGAATTTCATTAATATTATTGAAGCTGGAGAATAATAAACTACACCCCTACATTATTTGCAACTCTAACAACAGTATACCTATATAATATATACAGAGGGACTTTTTTTCACCAGTAGGTACCTACTTTATCAGAAAGTTGTCCAAAAATTCAGAATGTATTCAATTTTCAATAAAATATGTGGCATTTCTTGGTTATATCCGAATTATCTTTTGGATATTAAATCATATGAAATAATTACAATATTACTCGTATTGCTATAAGTACTTAGTTTATTATAATTTATATCTTATGATGCACTGTTTGGAACCTTTGGTGTAGTAATGAATATTACTGGAGTTTTTTCCCAACACCAAATCGTTATTTTTAACACCTCGATACGTGTTTCGATCACCAAGTGATCATCTTCAAAGAGGAAGATTAAAACTAGAAACTAACCCTATTTATGCTACATAGGTATCCCATTCAGGTAAACCATCCAGGCGTACCATCCATACAGGTATACCAACCTAAATTAATTTTACAATTTTGCCTTATCTATTATTTTACAATATATGTTTATATAAAACAATTTTCAGCTGTATAAAAATTGATTTCAAAATATTGCCTATCCAAATTTATTTTTGCAATGTGTCCTTATGTAGTAATCAGTAAACCCAACAATATTATTTTATTTCAACAAGCTATATAGTAAGTATGCTCTTTGGTATAGGTCCGTCATCGTTATTCATAATATTATTGTGTTTACTTATTTCTACACTCTCATGGGCATCTAGTTGCCTGTTGTTGTTAACTTGTCTAACTAATCTTGATGAATTGAAGTCTATGGAATGGTTTTGTTGCAAACTATGATGGGCGACTGCTGATTTTTCAGGTCTTTCATATTTTAAGTGTGCTATGTGTTCCTTATATCTTACTTTAATAGATCTTTTTGTCTGTCCATAATATTATGCATCGCAGTCCTTACATTCAATTTCGTTAATTCCAGACTTTTCCGATTTCTCGACTTTGTCTTTTGGACTTCCCAAAAGGATCTGTAGTGTATGACTTGTTTTAAAAACCACCGTCATACCTAGTTCCTTGAAAATCTTTCCAAAGTTCCTCGTATATTGGTGGTATGGAACTGAGATGTATTTATCTTGGTTTCTGTCCTTTGTGGAAGTCGAGATTTCGTTCATTCTTAACCTAAACTTCTTCTTCCTAATTATGTCATCTACAATACCCCTCGAGAAACCGTTAGCGGCTGCTATTTCCTGTATTGTACGTCTTTCTTTTGTGAACCCGACATGTGTTAAAGGGAAAGTCAAAAGACGATGCACTGAAAAATTCAACCCAGCACGTTTGTACTGGGTTGAATGTGTGTTCACAGTGATGTGAACTGTCAGGAATATGCCTGTACGTGCTTGTTTCTTTTCTAAATATATCGTATTATAACCCTCCATATTGGATCCTCATTACCAAAACGTCAAGAAATGGTAGTTGTCTCTTATTATAACGCATACGTGAATTTTATTGATGGACATCTATTATTTAAAATGGAAACAAAGTAGTCAATATCGCGAAAATATCATCTACACACTTTAGTCAAGTCCTAGGAAAATAATTCGACTTTCCTTTGGTTTACATTTCGAATCTGCTCATGAACAGGTCTGCCAGGTAGTGGGACAAGGGGTTTCCCATGGCCGTTCCTTCCTGTTGTTCATAAAAGCAACCTTCTACCTGGAACCGATTTTGTTTCATACACAAATTAGCAAGAGAAACGAATTAATCGATTTCGTTATTATTGAAATTATTTTTCTCTAGTAATTCCCTGAGGTATTGCGAGGTCTGTGGAAATGGGACTCTAGGAAATTAGGAACTAACATCAAAAGAAACCAAAATCTCACCTTCTTGCAGAACCACGTTTTTTGTATGTTGTATGAACTCTAAAGAGTTTTTTATACTAAAACTTGGTTCCGCAATAGACAAGGTTTGAAATTCCTTTGTGAACCACTTTGCTATTTGATAGGTAGGAGCTCCAATAGCTGACACGATGGGGAGCATTGATTTTCCCGGTTTGTGGATTTTTGGGAGGCAATATAGTTTCGACACCGTTGGGTTGGAAACTTGTAACATCCGTTTCAGTTTAGGGGTAAGTATGTTGTCGCATTTCTTGAGGACGTC